TTGTTTTTTCAGTAGAGACAACAGTAATAAGCTTGTTAATACTGGCAAAGAAAAATACTCAAAGAAAACTATTCTAGGCAAATGTGAAGACTGACAATAAAAATTAACACAATGTAGCATCTGTCTCGAAAAAGCAGAAATTCTACACCATTATAAATTCACAAGCTGTGATAAGTCTCCAAAAACTAACCTGTGAAAAGCTGTGCTAATAAGTCTCATGGGCTTTTTGATCTAGTGTAGATGGCAGAAAATCTAATGCTTGAACTTCCACTTCTTCATTTGAAAAAAAGACCACGTTTCTACTCTGACCCTAGTAAATCTAGCAGATACACGATACTTTTGGGTCCAACATTAACATATAATTATTTTGACTCAATTTCTTTAATAGTTCAGTTGTCAAAGAATAAATGCATGTAAAGTTCCTGGTCCAAAACTTGGTACATAGTAAGCACAAAATGTAAGCTTTGTTTTTCTTTCTTAAGTTTCCTATCTATTAAAATTTATAGCAGAGGAACAAAAGCATCTGTCAAATAATCATTAATATAAGTAATTAGCTACATGTACAAAAATCAAAGTGTGATGCTTAAAACAGAGGTCCCTCTCACCCAAAACTAATATACAGAAAAATTCAGAAAACACAAAAAAAAATATATAAGGGGTTTGTTATTAATCATTAAAACAATAGCAGCAGCAGCAGCAGCAACAACAAAATCTTAGAGCTAGGCCAAGTTTCCCAAGCCAGTGTCATTTTTGGAACAGTCATTTAGTGAGTTATTTCAGTAAACACTGATGCAGTAACCACGCTAAAATTCTGATACATCTTAACCCCCAACCGCTGAGTTGATTCTGACTCATAGCGACCCTATAGGACACAGCAGAACTGCCCCATAGGGTTTTCAAGGAGCCACCAGGTGGATCTGAACTGCCGACCTTTTGGTTAGCAGCCAAGCTCTTAACCACAGCACCACCTGGGCTGTGATACATTTTAATATCTTAAATTTTAAGTTACTTTGTTTTTTTGCACTCAAAGGAGAAAAGGCTGCTATGTAATATAATATGCTAAAATTCTCAACGTGTTTAAGTTTCGAAGATTCCTATTCAACTGCTCTCCAAATGAATAATGGACTTGGCCACTTGTTTTTGTACACCCCATACCCATTCATTTAGAAATTATCTTTGGCAGCTCTCCAGCTACAATGGCAGAGCTGTGCAGTTGCACCAGACCAGTTGCAACAGAGACTTATGGCTCACAAAACCCTTAAATAGTTACTATCTGTCCCTTCACAGAAAAAGTTTGCTGACCCCTATCTTAAAGAAACATCAAAGATTTTATCAGAAGACCACATTTCAAAGCTATAGGAGTCTCTCACTTTATGTAATGTATGTCCTCAGAAGCAATACATATAAATTCTGTTTTCCCATTGACTTCATTTTGTAAAAGATATTGGGAAAAGCTCCTCCCTTCCCCCCACCAAAAACCTAAAAACCTGACATACCAGTTTAGGTCAGTTAGATAAGCTTATTTCTTTCCAAAATCTACAGTATCTGGTTATCTATCCTATCTCTGGCCGGCTTCTCTTATTTCTCAACCAGAGAAACTACTTTCTTATCAGAAGATCCCCAAATTCCATGTTCATAATTTACAGAACTTGTACCCCCCCCATTTTTCCTTGCCTGTTCATATTTAATGCAAGGCAACAATATACACTTTGTTGTTAGTGGTACTACCAAGCAAGGAATTATGGCACCCTGAAAACCCCTTTAGCTCACTGCTTCACATTTTATATGAATACAAGTTAACACCCAACTTTGACTCTACACATTTTAAACTCAACGAAATCAGTATATTTTAAAGTAGGTATACTTGCACTATCAACTTATAGCATTATAAATCATATTTCTGTGAAAAGTACTGAAAGGGCTTTGGATACTCAGTGGTAGTTAACATACCTTCAATTGTTTTTTTCTTTAGGCTAAGGAATTCTTATCTTCACCCTGTTCATTTGTTTATATAATTATAGTTATGTTTTAAAGAGTCTTCTGAAATACAAACTGAAATATTAATAGATGAAATGACATCTGGGATTAGTGTCAAATTATGGGGTTGGTGTGGGGGGTTGAATTAGGCAGAACTGACAGGACAATGGGTACACAAAGGGATTTACTACTTTTCAAACCTAAATAGGAGAGAATTTTTCCATAATAAAAAGTATAAGAAATATTTTTAATGTAAAAAAATTCAGTTTCTCTAAAAGCCTTGATTCTACTTACCATCTAGTAACTCTAGAGTAACTGTAGGATCCACATATTCCCACCAATGCTTTCCATCAGTTGACACAGGAATCTCCCAATTGGACCATTTGCAAGCCAAATGAATGCATACACATGCTATCACTGTTGGTTTGTACTGAAGACAGAAGGTCGTAAGATGCAGACTGTTGTACAGCAGGTTTGCAAATGAAGAGTCACAGAAATTCATATATGTAAAACAAAGAAAAACATTTACCAGTAAGATTAGAGCAAAAACAAAATTATAAGTTTTCTTCTTTAAGTCTATAGTACAAAGCCTTATTTTATTAAATTAAAAAGCTAACACTATAGTTATAAAAATTCCATACTGAAAAACCTATATAGATTATGAAGCTCCCCACATCCTCACTCCCTGGAGTACTTATCAATACTACTAATACATCAATATTTCTAAAAATTTGTTTTTGGATCAAAACTCAAAGTATTTTTACTTATTTATAAAAAAGCGGGAAGATAGTGTATTTGCAACAATCACTAGTAAAATACATAATAAGCGCAACACTTTAAATTTTTTGTGGTATTTTTATTTCATTTGTAATTTCATGGCAAAATGTAAAGAAAAAGAAACAAGACTATTTGTAAAATTGACAAAGTAATTTCAACATCACATTATAATCAGGGATTATACCATTTGATGTGGTTTATCCAGCATTCTTATGACCAACGAAATTCTCAAGTAAGTGAGAGAGAATTTAACACCACTTTAAACCCCACTTTCTTTTCAGCAAATCACAAAGAAAACTTACCTTTTGCTCAACAGCTTCCAGGCTCAATGTTGCTAAATGTAACAAAACTACTACCTTTCTCCCTCCGCTATATGCCAAAAATGACATGTAACATGTCACAGCTAGCCTTTTTTAACCAAAGTTTTAAATTTAAGTCTTTTTTTTGTTCAGAATTACCAAGAATAGAGGTTAAATCCCAAAAACATATATCTAAGAAAACAGATTGATATTTGCCAATCTAAAATTTTTAATAAAACTTCTTTATGTCATAAGAAATTAAGGACCATACAAAGCTGGGTTGGTCCCTCTTCCCTGAAGACCCATTTAAAAACCAAACCTAAATCGTTAACATACGCAATCTAGAACAGAATAATACATATTAAAGGCTCTTTAAAACTATTTTTCAAGTTCAGTTTCAGAATTGATGAAAATGTTTAATGAGCAACCACAAACCCATTAACATTTTTGCTTTATATAAACTGAAAAGTATGTTTTTTAAAGTAAAACTATATTTCTGCAAGTCCATGTAATGACAGGACTTGACTACTCCTAGTTTACTACCAGTGGTATTTAACTGGAAAAAAAACCCCAAGTTATGTGAATTTTATTTATTTATTTGTTTATTTTTTAAAAAACAACGTTAATGATTATTTTAAGGTTAGGACTGGATCAAGGTGAAATTTAAAAAAAATTGTCATTTAACTATAATTGTAAACTAGAAATAGCTTTATACTTACCAAGTGGCTCGAATTTCTACGTTAAGTTTAGCTCTTTGTAATCTTTAGCTGCTATTCAGGCTACCAATTTTAGACTTATGCACTCACAAATCGAGAATATGTCATCAGAAAGCACCACTACACTTCACATTGTGCATTTAACCCCTCTGTGCCAAAAGTCCCTTGTACAATACACCGCAAAGCAAACAGGAAGGTACCACCACAGTAGATGGTCCAGTCTCCTGTTGCAACAAGGGTAAGAGACACATTGAGGGGGCCCTGCATTAAAGGAAGCTATAGTGTGCTACAACAGTGCAACAAAGAGGGTCAGGATAACAACCTGTTGGTAGCCATGAAATAGGATGTCTGTGCCAAATCCTTGCTTGCTGTAAGAAAAGAGAAAAAAAAAACGAAAACAATACTATCAGCTTTAACATGCTACCATCAAAAAGTTCTCAACACAACAAAAACTTCAAAGATTTGTACACAAAAAATAAAGTTTACTTACTACTTACAAATATCACAAGAGCGCCATCATTTTCTATACTACTGAAAATCTTCAACAACATTCACTCAAATGTTTCTTGCTATCCCCCAAAGATCTGAGAAACAAGCCGATTTGCTTTTAGCTAGCCAGTTACAAGGGCTAAACTTGTTACTAAGTTAAGCACCTAGTCAGCTAAAAGGTGCAATAAAGCATTCTCCTGGATTTAAAAAAAAAAAAAAAAAAGAAGAAGAAGAAGAAAAGATTTTGAAGTCTAATACAAAATACAAAGAGTTGCCTGCCAGACTTAATCCTCAGTCATCATATTTAAGTTGGCTTAAGTACTTCCATCAAAGAAAACAAAATAAAACAAACCCCCCACCCTCCAAAACTCAGGACAAACTGCTGTTTTTCCACCATGCTACTAAGCATCAACAGAGAATAAACAACCTAGAAACATCATAAGAGCATAGATACACGAAGCTCCACTATATTATTTAAAAACAATAATTATTAGCAGAATCCAATTAAAGACGATATTTATGAAAGACAAAGATACTCTAGGGGGAATAAGGATGCTTCAACACTGGTCCCCAACAGAAAAGCAGTTTTTAATAACTAGCTTGTCAAGACATTGAAAATGGTTTTGCTTTTTCCCCTCTTCTACTATCTCTTATTATTCTTCCCAACAGGAATATCCTTGCTTTAATACCCCTTTTGTTCAATTACATTCATAATTACTGACATACCTTTCCCCTCTGCTCACCTAGAATTAGTTCACCTCAACTCCACCCCTTTCTAATATGCCTCAAATTCCTTTCCAACTCCTACTTTTTTATCCTTGGCACCTGTAATCCCTGCTACCCTTGTGGATCACCAATATAAAGGTTTTACAAAAGGGATTTGGGCTTAGCAGAGTTGTGCTAAGGAGAGTGTCAAAGCATCAGATGTCTTGGAGGCAGTGACTTAAGTATGGCATTCTTTCCTGGTGGGGAGGGAAGGAGAAATCACAGAAGTGAAAGGTCCCTGTAAAATGACATTAGCCAATTCTACAGCAAAGTAGCATAATACCAACTTTTTCATCTCCAAAGAGGGGAAAAAAGGACATTATAGAAACCAAATTTATTTACTCTATCCCCCAAAATCAAAATTTGTAGAGAAGGAAGTAAAAATAATTTTAAACTGCTGTAGGAGTTTTCACTTAGGAATATATCTAAATTCAATGACCTATAAATAGTCACTGTACAACAGAGGAGTAATGTAGGGGAAAATGTTCTTTGTTAGCTGAAGTTGTAACAGAGCAAAGAAAAGAAGAAAAAAAAGGACACTAAACATGAAAGAACATTTTTTAAATGAAGTGAGATGTAAAATACAGTAACCTGCAATGTTAGTCAGACAAAATGAAGTTAAACATATATGTGGTTTGCAATCTAAGAACTGGTCACATTTTAAACATTAACAACAACAAAAAAATCAGATTTAACTATTTTGCTTCAGCTGATGAAATGACCTCATGCCTCTAGATTCATTAAATGTAGGAAACATTTATAGAAAGTATGAAACTTTTATTAAGGATTTCAAAGAAGCAGACTCAAATTTCACAAGCAAGAATTAAAAATAAATAAATAAAAAGAACCAAACCCACTGCTGTCAAGTCAATTCCGCCTCACAGCAACCCTACATGATGACAGAGTAGAACTGCTCCATTGGGTTTCCAAGGCTGTAATCTTTACGGAAGTAGACTGCCACATCTTTCTCCCTTGGAGTGGCTGGTGGGCTCAAACCTCTGACCTTTTGGTTAGCAGCCGAGTACTTTAACCACTGCGCCACGAGGGCTCTTTCAAGCAAGAATACTAAGCTGAAAATACAGTTTCATTTCCTACTAAGTTAAAAAATACATACATAATATACATTTTAACCTGTATCAATATCTTTAAACAGGTGCTCAATTTGAAGCAAATTATATGGCTCTGTTATTCTGACATAGCTTAACTACTCTAAGCTTTTTTCCTTAATAGTTACACTAGTTATCTATATAATTCTATACTATACTGTAATACTGGAGATATGAATGTGCTATGAAATACAGTCATATAACCATGAGGAATGGAAACCATAATTAAATGTTATACTTTACAAATGATAGCATGCGCTATAAAGATAAAAAAATATGTAAGTGGAATTTTAGAGGTCCGGTTCTTAACAACACTGTGGTATCAGACAACAGCTTTTTGTTGTTGTTTTTTGAATGCAGTCATTAATATAATAGAATCCTACCTGAGCATAAAATGAATTTAGTTTAGAATGAATAAGATGTGAGAATATTTAGGTAAAGACTAAAAAACAAAACAAAAAGACCTTCAAATGTCTTACCCATTTTATTTAGGATAAACCTACAGAAGTTTGGTGCTAAAAGAATGAAACTGCAAAATTTCATTTTCAAAAAGCAAGTAACAGAAAAAGGCACACTACAGGTCCCAGGTGGTTGCTATTAGTTTACAACACCTCAAATGGGAAACAGGAAAAGTAGAAGTAAGAAGCAGCATAACAACATGCAACTATGTAAAAAATATTCTACAGATGCAGCAATAGATACACAGGATTCATTAACAGGAGTAGAAAAATGATGTTCGACATGCTTTACAAACAGTAAAGTATTACAAAAACTTCTATTCTTGTTTATAAAAGGTTCAACAGGCACACCACAAACTATATATATCATGCTGTATTACTTATTTTCTCACTATATACAAAAAGGAAACCATTGTTAGTAATGCTAACAAATCTTAAAAATATATTAAATCAATTTTGCTCAAATGAATATGGGCAAAACATTTCCAATCTGCTAACAAACACAATTTTTATCTGAAACATTTGGGGTTGGCCTCAAAATTCTTGAACACAAAATTTTCAGGAAGTCAGTGAAAATTCAACATAAACCAGAAATTAATATTGTTTTCTGCACCTATGTATTACTGGCCCACATCTTAAATATTAACTGAAATGGGACTAGCACAGCCCAATGGGGGTTGGGAGGAGCCCTAAGATTTGGAAACGCTCAATTTTTTAATGAAATGAGACTCTCATCTAAGATTAAAGAAAGCTAACTCACCAGGAAGAAACACAACAGAACTAGAGGAATAGGTGGATACCAAACTCAGTAAAAAATAATGCTTCAAAATGACATTTTCCCCCCATTTTAATAAAGCTTAACAAAAGTCTATAAGCACAACATAGCAAACAAATCAATTACAGATGACTATAAAAGCATTAATACTTATCTTAAATGTTTCAAAGATCACTTACCTCTTACTAACTGGGTACATTTCACCACATCTGTGTGTGGGTGTTCAATGGTGATCTCAAAACCTGCAATGAAAAGTATTTTTTTTCCCCAATCACTTGTCACTACAATACTTGCCTGAGAAATGCTATGCTATCCATCACACAACCATAAATGATTACTATATTCTTCATTATTAAAAAAAATCCAAAGTTAAAGCTTTTCTTCAATTCCATGCTCATTATACCTCCAATGACAAGTTAGCTAAAGAGCAAGGGTAATTAATATTTATTCAAAATTCTTAAGTTGTAATGAAATTGGGATTGTCCTCAAGTTAAAAACAAACTAAAATCATGGCAAATACAGACATTATTAAGCTTGACCCACAGTTTTAACTTCCCTCAATTTAAGCAGAGAATTCAACCATTTAACATCTTTCTTACACGTATCTCAACCTTTTCTTTTACAAGATGTGAAAGGAAAAATTTTCATAAAAATAACCTTTGGACCACAGTGGTAGAAATGCCCTTTTAAAGTGATACAGTCCTCTAAATTTTCTTACTATGATGGACTTAAACATGCCAGTGATCGTGAGGATATCACAAAACCTGGTTACGTTTTGTTCTGCTGTACATAAGGTCACCATGAGTTGTAACTGACTCAACAGCCTATTTATTATGACTTAGATCAACGAGTCTCAACCAGTTTGCTTACAACTATGTTTCATTAATAATTAAAATCATTAAAGCAAGTGAACCATTTAAGTCTCAAGATTCATTAAATCGCTGTTGCTAAAACCAAAGATGAAATGTTGAAGAGCTTTCAGTGTCCAATAAACCCTTAAACAGGACTTTCTCTCCTTCTTTGTTTTTCCTAAGTGGAGATCAATCTAGAGCCTTCATTTAAGTAAATGAATAAAATCCTAACAAATATGCATTCTGGATTTACAATGTCATTGTGTGGTCTGTTTCTATTGTAATTAAACCTGCAAAACAGTAATTTAAAAGAAAGCCATACAGGTATATCTTCTGAATTCTAATGTACCCCTTACGCTAATGGTATTCATTCTCCCTGCTTAAGAATCTTTCATAAATAAAGGAAACTATACAAAGATTTTATATAATGAAATAATAACTTTATAATAGTATAGTTTATAATAATTCATTTTAATTTCATCATTCGAATGTTTGCAACTTTCCATTATGTATGAATTTATATAGTTTTATATAATAAAACACTAACTCAATGCAAAATCATTAGACTTGGAGAGAACTGAGTAGAAGATTCTCGATTTTTTTATATCCTTTATAGTATATAAACTTCAAACAAGCTACTTTTGTAATAAAAAGAATCTGTCACGACGAGAAGCTGTGCTGATGATCATACTTCCATTCAACATCTGGGTATGGAATAATAAAGTAACTACCATAATTAATAATGACTACTTATGAAACACCTGGCGCCCTGATGGCACAGTGGTTAAGAACATGGCTGCTAACCAAAAGGTCGGCAATTCAAACCCACCAGCCACTCCTTGGAAACCCTTTGGGGCAGTTCTACTCTGTCTTATAGGTCGCTATGAGTTGGAATCAACTCGATGGCAACAGGTTTGGTGTTTTTATGACACATCTATTATGTGGCAGATTTTTTTTTAATACATTATCTTTCATTTTCAAATTTACCATGCAAGGCAGGTATTATTATTCCACCTCACATATACAGAACAGAGGTACAACAGGTAAAGAAATTTTGCCAAAGTTTACAAAGGAAGTCAGAGACCTGCAGATTTAAACCCAGATATTTCCACCACAACCTGCTTGATTTTCCAGAAGTAAATACGGGAGTTCCCAGTTTTTTATATAATATCAAAACATGGTAACTGCCACTACTTAAACACATAGCTTTAGACAAGTCATAACCTTCTTAGGTCTGTTTCCTCATCAGTAAAGTGAAAAGTTAGACTACATAATCTTTGTTGTTGTTAGGTGCCATCGAGTCGGTTCCGACTCAGCAACCCTATGTACAACAGAATGAAACACTGCCCAGTCCTGCGCCATGCTCACAATCCTTGTTATGCTTGAGCCCGTTGTTGCAGCCACCGGGTCAATCCATCTTGTTGAGGGTCTTCCTCTTTTTCACTGACCCTGTACTTTACCAAGTATGATGAATCATCTTTAGAGATCACTTAAGTTGCATGAATCTCGTATATGAAGATGTAACTTTTAGAAAAGGGTGGCCGACATTTAAATAATTATTGTCACATTAAAGACGATGTGCCATATTCATTAAATACTAACTCTAAGTTCTAGGAGAGCAAGCACGGCTGTGTATGTTTGTACATGTTAAAATCATAAGCAACATCACTACTGAACCATTTTACTCTCCAGTGTGCATCAGAGCCAAGTAGTGCCTAGGCTGAGAGAATCAAAAAAAGTAGTTATGGTTGGGTCACCCAACTATCTAGAAACCTAAGAAATCACAGGGAAGGCTATGTTTACCATTCAACTCTAAACTTTAATTCTAAATTTTAGAATTGAACTTAAACTTTCAAAAAATGATATTTCTACAACAATGAGTCTGTGAAGCATCTCATAACATGGATGAAACTGGAGGACATTATGCTGAGTGAAATAAGTCAATCACAAAAGGACAAATATTATATGAGACCTCTAT